TCCAACCAACGATAAGTGTTTTAAAACTTAATTTTAAATTATTGGTTAAAAGGGTTTATCTGCATCACCACAATGGTCTTCCAACAAAATGGAAGGGCTTCAATTGCAGATCAAAAATGTTTCAGTATGTGAAAGTGAGAATTATCAACCTGCTAAGGAGTTTAATCCCATGCCTCTATTTTTGCACGAACTGTGATGTGTCTCAAAGTAAAGGAACCTAGGGCATCGGCTTATAGGTCTTGTCCTCTGAGAAAAGATAAATCCTGCTGAAGAATGGAATTGTCTTTTAACTTCATTTTACTTTGTGCTAGCTATTTTACCTTGCCTGATTATCATGTAGTGTATCTGTAATATGTGTAATAGATAACGTGTCTATTCATTACGGGTGCTAATTGAAAGGAGACAAGGCCAGAGTAATTAATCATGCTGAAGTGTGATGAGCAGCCTCTTCTGGGATTGCATATTTTGGGTTCATATGAGTGGTCAATAATTAAATTTATTTATTGTGATGCAAGCGGTTGCACACAATTTACAAATTACTCTTGTAGCTGCCCCGGTTAAATCAGGAGAATTGGAAACGTATCCCAGGATGGATCTTGCTTGATGCTCAGACAGTGTCCTTGACTCTGCTGGGCTTCCCCACCCCCTCCCCACTCCCACCCCAGGGGTATCTGAACCGTGTCTCTACTGGTGGCCAACTCACCACTTTCTAGTATGTTTCTGTTGTTGCAATATCTTTGTCTGGGGTGGTGGTGGTGACAGTAACTCTCTTTCAGGTCTTATTCAGAGAGGAGCAAGCTTAACTATAGAAATCTCTTTCACTCAACACTATCAAATTTATAGACATAAGCACGGCATTTCAAGTATCTGTTTTCAATATAAATTCAGAAAATTGGAAAATTCTTCTCGAAGCAAGATTTCTCTCCCTCTCGGCATCTACCTTAGTGGGCATTCCGATGTTAGGAGTTAGGAAGAAGGAAACGAAATGTTACATATTTTTTTAACCAGATATAGAAATGAACTGCAGTCATTACGATTGCATTTTTTTAAAAACCAAATGTATTGAAATTTTATTTGGTACATTTATTACACATAAGATTCCTCTCCCTCCCACCCCCTTATGATATTCAAATGTTCTTAATTATACTGGGAGATTTTACTCCTGCCTCCATTCTAGAAAACGCTCTCGGCCACTTATCTAATACCTGAAAAGAATTGAGCAATTTGTAACCGTTGATGTTAACATTTTAACACTATGGAAGTAAAGGACCGACGACAAATGTCCCTTTCCGCTGATTGAAAAGGGAAGGTTTTGCCCTCGTGTCAATTTCCTTAAACTCATCAGCTCAACTCCAGCCAAACAAAACCGAAGTGGAAGCTCAACATTGTTAAAAGTAGCCAGAATATTATTGCCCACAGAAAAATCTCATTTTCCAAGCTTCCATCTGAGCCCTGATTTTCGATTGCGGAAAAAAAAGAAAAGCTGTGTTTCAGGAGGCGGGCTTCTGTTCGCCAGCAATGTCTTTTCTTGGTCCTTGCTGTTCCCTGCGCCCAGCCCATCACTTCAGCCCTGCCACATTCATTCATCGCCGGTTGAGGTTTTCTGCAGATTTAATCGCAGCGTTATTTGTGGTTGATCATATCCATCTACCTGGTACTTGCCTCGGTTTCCCTGCCGAGTTAAGGCCGGACAGGAGTAGAGCAGTTTACACACAAAGAATTGGGTTAGAAATAAATGTAATGGCAAAGGCAGGCTGTGATATAACCCTTCAAACGGCAGGAAATCCTACATAGCGAAAAGAAGCGTGTAAACCAGGCTTACTCCTGTTCGGAAACGCGCATTTACCGCGCAATCCCAGGAACCCTAAAAAAAGGAAGCCTGGCCAGGGAAAGGGCCTCGGGATCCGAACCAAAGGCGGTGACTGCAGTTGAACTAAGAATGAAAAGGCTGGGAAGTGGCTTCCTCTTTAAAAGCTCTCAGTGATGGCCGAGGTAGTTAATTGCAAGCAGAAATGAATTTCTCCTTCCGTTTCTGATCCGCGCATTACCTACACACACACACAAAAGAATGAACGCCGTCAGCTGATCGGCTGCGAGTTAGGAGAGAGAGAGAGAGAGAGAGAGAGAGAGAGAGAGAGAGAGAGAGAGAGAGAGAGAGATGAAGATGAACGAATTTTACGGCGCGCTTGCTTTCAACTTTCGATCAAGAAGCCAGTGCTCTCCACGTCTCGTCTCAACTTATTCTTTTCCCGGGGAACCAGAGGCAAAGTGGGTTGTGGTGTTTTTTTTTTTTTTTTTTTTTTTTGCCACGGAGTTGGCAGTGGGTCAGAAGCTAGCAAAAAAAGAGTTTTGGGGTTCGTGGGAACTGAGGAAGCAAAACAAAATGCAATCTTTACCTCAAGTCTTTAGGCGTCGAGTGAGTCTCTTTACCGAAGAGGGTGTGTAAGGGAGGGAGGGAGGTTGGGCCAAGGTCTTAAACAAGAGTTTTGGTCAGGCTTCCTAATTCAACCCAAACCCCTACCTGGTTTGAGAAAGAGAAAAGGGGTCGAAGCGAAGACTACCTAGCAGTCGGTAGGAGGGGGAGAACAGTCCATCACCCCAGCGCAAAGCTGCTGCTCCGCGCTCAGGGCCTTAGGAGAGACCCTAAAGGCTCAGACTTCGTGCTCGCTGAAAGGGAAGGAAAAAATCCCTTTGGCTGAGCCTAGCGGAGACCGCTAAGCGCTTCTTGCAAGTGGTCCTCCTTGGGGGTGGGGAAGACTCGTACACTGTTGGAAAGGAAAGCGTGTTTATTTTCGTTGCATCAAGCGTCAAATTGCAGTGTTACCTTGATGTCTGGGGCGGCGATTAACCTTTCAGGGCAGAAAAATACCATCTTTTTGAAGACATCCTTAAAAAAGTACAGATGGGGTGGCTGGATGAGCTGGGCTCGTGAAGAAAGGGGGGCTTAAGAGGCCTCCTTCTACGTTGAGGGGAAAGGGCTTGGGTTACCTTGGCCGGACAGCTCAGAGAGCGAGAAAACCCAGGGGAGAGATTTTGGATGGAAAGGCGACGGTGCAACTGCCCTGGAAAGGGATCCACAGTCTCTCCAGATGCCTCGCCTATGATGCGAAAGACTAAAAGAAGAGGGATCCGACGGGACGGGACGCTCTTGCTGGCAGAGCCTCACAGCCCAAAGGCAAAAAGCAGACACGGCTTGCGGCTAGGCTCAGCGGCATCCCAGAGACTCTCCAAGATCTTCTGGGGTCCATTTTCCCCGCCCAGATTTTTTGAAAGAGGGCGCACCGGGATTGGCTGTGGGGGCGGGGCTTCCCTGCGGAAAGTGACGTCACGCCCTCTCCCTGCAGTGTGAATGAATCAAAGCTGCGTTCTCTGGACCAGCACTCAGCTAGCAGGCGACTGCTGCAGCATCACTTTCCAACCAGGATACAGTCAAGCTGGAATAGCAGGAGACTCCAAGGGGATCTGAAACCAATTGGGGCCAACCTTCTGCAAATCGAGAAGGATCGGTCCCGAATATAATTCATTTTTTTTTATTCTGAGTTTTTTTATTTATTATTTTTTTTAAATAACAATCCCCTTGGGTGTTTTTCCCCCCCCCTTCACTCAGCGTTTTCGTCTTCTCTGTATATTGAAATAAAATGATGCAAAGCTCAGCACTCGCCACGGAAGGTTCTGTCAAGGGGCTTCCAGAAATTCTTGGTGTGCCAATGCAACGTAAGGAATCTTCTTTTTTTTCTCCCTACTCTCTCTTTCTCTCTTCCACGTTAATTTAATAATCAAGAAATGTGGCAATTTGGAGAGCTTGACTGGTGCAGGGAGGATAGCTATTAAAAACAGCTGCGTTGTCCACGTTAGGAACAGGGGTAGAAGATTCTGGCTGGCGATATGTGTACATCGGCGTGTGTCTCTTAGGGGGCCTTATGCGAGCGATCTTCCAAGGTTGTGACCAGGAGGAGGACAGGTTGTTTTGCAGGGTTGTCTTTTTGCCTTACGGATCAATAAATCCTAGCGCTGAAAACAACATGCCAGATGGCGAGTGGTAGCAGTTCACAGCTTACTATACTCACACAGGAGCGAGTCCCGCTGAGTTTCACGGGTCTCTCTCCCAGACAGGCGGGTGGGGTGGGCAAGAAGGTTAATGGTCAGGATGTCGGGCAGACACGAGAATGGCCTTACCGTGGAGTAGGGAGGGCTGAACAGCGGCTTGCCAGAAGTTTGCCTCTGTCTTCTCGCTTGTGAGCCCATGGTTTTCCCTTCCATTGCCCTTCAGTTCATTTGCAGTCTTGTTTTGAGTCCCTTTACTGGGCCGGATGTTGCTTGCGTTTGGGGCATCTCCGGTTTGTGGTGGTGGGGTTAGCTTCCTTCAGCGGAGAGGAGAATGCCGGGCCTGCATTTGCTGCAGACCCGAGAAAATGAGGAGCGTCTATGCTGTGTCGTCTCTTTCACCCTGCAAAGAGGGGTCGGGTTAATGGCTGAAATCTCCCCTTGGAGGTTCCGCGGATCCCCGGAGATGCGTCAAAGAAGCGGGAAGTGGATTGAAAACCGGTGGCAGAAGCGGGAGCGTTTCCTTGCCTTTAAGGCAACACGCACACAAGGCATAAGGGGAAAGGGCAGAATATTTCATATGTACACCTTCTCCTCTGATGAGCCTACTTTTTCCAACCTGAGCTCTGCTATGAATTAGGCTTTCGTGAGCAACAAGCTTCTGTTGGCCTCGGTTCCCCTTCCTTGTGTCCCGGCGGATCTGCTCATCGATCCGCCCTGAAGCTGTGTTGAGTCAGAAGCAAGTCCCTCGGATTTTAAATAGGGGCGGACCTTTAGGAAGAATCCCGCTCGGGCAGTGCTCGCCTTCCCAGAGGTGCGCTTCCAAGTCAGAGAGGATGCTTCCTGGGGGGAAAAGGAACTCGGGAAACTTCCTGCTGGAGGAAAGAGTCACTGTTTGGCCTCTGTAAAAATTAGGTGCTTTGCGAGGACCGATTGAGCAAGCCAGGAATGCATAGATGGTGCGGATGGGAGCTTTCCGTTTTCTAGGCGGAAGGGCTCAGTCCCAGGCTGGAACTCTCCTTCTTAAAGACTGTCGCTCTGGAGAAGGGAGGGTTTCCACTGCGGGCTGCCAGCCTCCGCTAGTTTGTCTCAATGCCATCGCAGAACGTCGGACCTCGCGGGTGCGCTTTGGCCGGAAGAAGGGAGCTCGTTAGGGAATCTGAATCTTCCCAGACAGGCCCCGGTGGAGCCAAAGCGAAGGGCCTTGAGGTTCACTTCAGGTCAAGGGAAGCCTAGGAGGGGAAGGTTAGGCGGAGCATATCGGTAGGTAAAATTATCCCCGCGAGGTACCTTGGCATCGCACCCCTCCTCCCTTTCTGCACGGCTTGGAGGGAGCCAACCCTCCCCTCAGCCTGAAGGTCAAAGGGGCCCGAGAGTGGCGGTGGGACTTGGCCAGGACAGATCAATTGCTCTCCCCCCGCCTTGCGCTGCTTGGGACTCAGCGTGGCGCTCTGAGCGCGCAAGGCAGCCAGAGCAGCGCTGCGGCCCCGCAAAGTTGGCCCGGTCCTGCCCAGCAGTGGTTCCAACGGGTCGGGACCGAGTGTCATTGCTTATCGAGCTGCCCTGCCGCAGAGTCCTGTTTCCGACACTCCATCCTCGGGCTGGCCGTCGTTGATTTCCCGGCCTCTTCGGGTTCTTCTCACGTCCACCGCTTCGGACGGCCTTCGTTGCGCGGGGACTGGGCGCTCTCACCGGGCGGTGCAGGCTCCTTCGCCAGGGCAAGCCGGATGCTTCCCGTAGGCGTCCTTCTTCCAGAGGAGAGCAACCCCGCAAGAGGTGGCTCCGTTTCGCTTTCAGTCCATAGGAGACGAGGGTCGCCTCCTCTGTAGGGAGGGTCAAAGGGGATTTGGGGAGTTGTCTCAAGAAGGAGGCCGGTTCGCTGGCCCCAGGAAGAGGGAGATTGATTTGGCATGCGAATCCCAGGCCCGCGCTTCCTAAGCAAGGCAGCCCCGTCCACCCTGACCCTGTCCCCGCTGAAAGGCTTTCCTCCATTTCCTCCCAACAATTGCTCTAAACTTGACTTAGGGCAATAGTTGCTTATTTCAGAAGTTCCAATGTAGAAACGGCAGGCGGGAGACTTTCTAATGGATCAGGCTGCCCGGTAAGGAACCTGGCCAGGTTCTCAGTCGGCCCTGTCACCGGCCTCAGCCCCAACCCTTGCCCGAAAAGCGCCGGGCGGGCAGGCGAATTGGCCTGAGGACAGCCTTTCGTTGGGCAGCAACACCTTGGCGCCTCACCTAAGCTAGAACCTGACTTGGGTTGAGTTGGTTTCGCACCTTGAGTGAAGTCAGCCATTTTGAACCAAGGCGTTGCACCTTGTCTGAACCCGGTAGTAATGGCTGGTCAAGCAACCAGAGTTGAAATACCATGAATTTTAGGGCGATTTATGCCCTGACCTTTGGCTTCAAAACGCGAGGGTCATACCTCATCCCCCACAAGTCTAGATTTTACTGGAAAGAGACTTCCGAGGGTTGATTTCATCGCGTTGTCTTGATGCGGCCAACCTCTTAGAAGGTAAAATGGGAAGTGGTAAAACACGTGAATTGTGAAACCCGGATTTGGCATGGTTTAACGTGTGGTAGACCCGAGATTGGCAGGAAGATTCTGTTTGTTGTTAACGTCGAACCGACTTCGTTTCTTCATATCTTACCTCCTCCAGCTTTAATTTCTTTCCCCACACCTGGCGTTTATTCCAATCAAGAATCCTTTCTTGATTCTTCTCTTGGTGGAAAATCATCCTTACCTTCTTCTTAAAAATGTCACTGCAGGATAAGTCCTTTTATTTTCTTGGAAACCGGTTCCCACTAAATTAGGGAGGAGGAACCGACTGAGAGCAGAAAGGCAACTCGGGAACTCGCTGAAAACCATATGCCCCAAATTTATAGCTTGGGTCACTGCTCGAGTTTGTCTAATGGAAAGTCAATTGGTTCCATTCAATTAGGCCTAGAATATAACTCTGAAAGTCCGTTAAATTCCAATTATCTAACCGCTGATGTGTGTGCATTCTCACTTTTTCACCTGCCTTGCTTTCCATGCCAAGAGCCGTTTACTTATCAATCGGCTTTTTTCTCTCCTCGGTTAACAGTGGGGTGCACATCTCTCCCTCTCCATAGATATGCTCATATACATGCACACTTTTTGTACCTTTGCACACACAATCCAATGTCAAGTTCAATGCACCTAAGCATACTAATACCGTATCAGCACGAGAGCTGTAGGTAACTGGTGTAATGTACTTTGCATATACCTTCCACACCTTCGCAGCTTTCCCTTTTCTTTTCTGACTACAAATGTGAGAACTGACAGCAGGAGTCATCGAAAGACTGACGTTTTACCTCTCTTTTGTTGGTTTGATGGGATATTTTAGTAGCAGTTTTTCTGCGCTCCCTTTCTCCAGGGTCTGCACCTTCATAGCTTTTCACACACTATTTCTCTCCTTTCAAAGCTGCCTTGCCCAATATAGCCGTCTTGGTCCCCATCAGTTCTGGCCTTTCCCAGTTCTTTCTCATGCAGGAGATGTGGGACTCTGACGGGGCCCTTTCATTGCTGGCTCCTCACTTGGAGGCACAGTCAGATCCTTTCCTAATTATCCCTTCCTCTCTCCGCCGAAAAGGTAATTCTGGAGAGAAAGCCCCGCTTGCGTGCCTCGGGCCTCCAAAGGACGGGGCATTGTGGACTCAGGTCGGCTTTCACCAATATGGTGCTCCCAGTTTAGGAAAGGTTGGGTTGGCCTTCTAAAATATTTGGGAAACACATGGGTGAGGCGGGGTGGGGTATGGGATGTCCTTGGATTTGTTTTGAGCTCCCGAGTATTGCTGGAATAAGATCCCCAAATCACAGAGGGAGTTGAGCATGGGAGTCAGTTTCCTTTCACTTTTTCTAATAACAGGAAGTAATCCTGGTTCAAAAGCCCAAGATTAGTGGTCCCAAATCAAACCTCGGCTCTTTCTATCTTTCTTCGCCATTTATCTCTTTCTTTCCTTCCCCCTACGACGTATCTCCAAGGCAAACAGGCTGATATGAAGCAGAGGAACGGAAGGGCCTTCAGGTGTGAGCCCAACCTTTTCCCCAGTTCAGAGCCCCCTTGGGGCAAAAGGCGCGGCAGTGGAGAGGTTCTCTTCGGAAGCAATTCTTCCCTTAGCACAGCTGACCTCTGCTCTAATCCGCTGTAATTGCTGGAAGCCTAACTGGGTCCTGGAAAATTTGTGGAAAATCAGCAATTTTTGCTTAATTGTATGTCAGGCAATAACATATCCCTCTCTCCAGGGTGGGGAATAAAATCGATTTTCCGGTTTTCCCTCCCCCGCCACCTTCCCGGGATTTTCTGTCCTGCACATGGCTTAGAAATGGAGCAAAGACTCCGTTTGCCATCCTCCAACCAGGCGCAACAATCAGCTGCGCTCCGTTTATTTTCTATTAGCAAAAAGCGAGGAGGGGCTAAGCCGTGGTTAAGAAGAAGCTGGCGATGCGTAATTTGCTTGACTTTTCCAGTCACTTTGTTCTCCAACCGATTCGATGCAAATGTGCCTTAATTCGAGCAAAATGCCAAGCTTGCCCTCCGTGGAGAGAAAAACAGGGCAAGCAGGTGGGATGACTTCCTGGGTCTTGCTGTAGATAAACTGCTTGAGGGAGGGGAGGGGAGGGAGGGAAGAAAGTCTAAGAAAATCCACCTTTGGCGGTCGTGGGATAGAACAGATTCATCTAAGGCGCTAAACTACGATGTCATCTGCTTGCTTGTAGGCTCAGATAGAGAATCTGAACATGTTCTATCCAAGAAACTAAGTTTGAGCCAAGCCTGATTGAGCGAGATATGTTGGGGCTTTAATTCTAATTACACACGGGAAGAACACATGTGTACATATTTCGATGGTTCTCTCGGATGGAAAGCTCATTTCTTCTCCACCTTGGTGGGTAGGGCTCAAGTAGACTAACCGCTTTGCATTTTCAAGATAGATTCAACCATTCCCTCCCGCAACCCTCGAGTCTAGTTCCTCGAAATAGACTTCGGTGTGGAACCCGGATTTCAGCTTAAATGTCCCCTTCTTCCCTTTCTTCCGATTTGATAGGAGGAAGAATTTCAACCTTTCGAGACAGATTAGACTCGAGGCAAAGTCTGCTCCCGGTTCATCACAGCTGGGATCTGCCTCAGTCTTTTAGGAATAGCTTTCCGAATTCCGAAAAGATTCGGATTAACCGAATTAGCTGTCGTGCTCTTCTCTGCTTTCCTGTCCAATCTTGATTCGGTTTTGCCAGATTCGGTTGTATGAGTTCCGCAATTTATTTAACCGACAGTTCCTTTACATCTGCTAGTTAGGGCAATTAATAGATACAAGAAGCAGCTTAGAGTTACAAAAACCAACCATCAGAAGCAAAAGATCAAACAAAGAGTGAAGGACGTAATAATGGAAAGAAAGCCAGGTAGAGAGGCAGCATTCAGCGTGGCAAATACCTTTTTTTAAAAAATGGTATGCAAGGGCAGACTACATATACTCTAACATGCACTTTTCCAAGTTTTTATTGCGCCGCCATGCAAGCGGATCGGGCCACTTATGCAGATGGGATGTGCCTGTAAGTGCAGGTCCCATGCGGGAAAGATCACACTCGCGGAGATTTGCGGCCCATCACATCCCGGAGGCTTTGCTTGCTCAGCTGCTTGGCGATTTTAGGAAAAATCGGATCTTATCGGCAGGGAGGGGCTTCTTTGGGGTTGCTTGCAATCGTTTTCTCCTCCTTGTAGAATCTACAACGCTTTCTGTAAAATCGCAACTCCAGTAAGAGTCCGAGAGAACAGCCTGAAATAGCATTTCTAACAAGCAAAGTACTGATCTGGTACGTTTGCCGCAATGTACCTTTCCTCCCTGAAATTACTGTATTTTAATTTCATTTGGGACCAGAAAGAATAACGGAAGTAGGGGGAAGTTATCTTCAAAATAAAGAAACATGGAATTAAATTGCTGGCATATTTTTAAAAGATACGTTAATCTTCATCTTTCTCACCTTTTGTTTGGAAGAAGCTACAGAAAGAGAAAAAAAGGATAGTCGCTCGAATTGAATTATCGAGACCAAAACAAATAAAACAAAAACCCTTGTATTTTCAAAACTATAGTTCGGAAGTATAAACATTACAATTAAAAACACATTCTTTTTGAAAGTCATATTTGCGGGGGAAGGAGGAATAGATATATGGAATTCAATTATTGCTCGGCGTGTCAAAGTGATTGTGAGCCTCTCCCAAAAACAACGAAACAGCCCTTCATCTCTCCCTCATCCCCAGGCGGGACGAAAGAATCCCGACCATTTTGGATCTTTGCTTGCACCCAGACGAGTCCCTGTCCTCTGCAGGTGATGCTGACCCGGACGGGTGCTGGAAGGAAGGGAACGGTCTCGGAGGCTCGACCCGTAACCAGGGATCGGTCCTTCTTCAAGGGCCTTTAGTGCTGGCCAACGTAATTCTCTCTTGCAGACGAAGGGCTCCCGCCAATCCATTTTGCTGAATTTCTGTTTCGGACCCGGTAGAAAGAGCACGGATGCCTCGCTCCCTCCTTCCCAGCCTAGCCTTCCCTGGGACAGAACAGCGGCGGGCGGGCGACCTCCAGGAGGCGAGTACACCAATTCACCAAATTCTAGGGGGTCAGGATGACGAAGATTTCCTCGGGAGGTTCGAGCGACTCACGAAGCCTCTGGAGCTGCTCGCCGCTTATAAGGGAGGCTCGAAGGAGCCCTAGGAGAGGCAATCCGTGCAACATCGGGGAAGGAGAGCAACTTTGAAGGGAAACGCAATCGAGAAGCCGTCCTGTTCCTTCAATGGCAGGCAGGAGGGGACGGCAAACCCTTCGTTTCGCCCGATCGGAAGCCAGTCAAGAAGCCGCCGAAATCTCCTTGTTCCTTTTCTGCCCCACCGCTCCCCTGGAGACCGGCCCAGGCAGTCCTGTTTTTTTTTTTTTAAACCCCCGCCCCCTGTGGGATTCGTAATGAAACTGGGGCCGCCTTGTAAGGAAAATCCGGAGGGGAAAGAAGCCGCCGTAGGATGTGGAAACCCTGCTCGCCTTCACTACTGACAGGCGGGGCAGACATGGAAGTTCGTAAAATGCAAATGAATTCAAATATATTTGTGCTTCGCGACCGAGAGAGAGAGCGCCGTGGAAAGGAAAGAGGCGGCCTGCCACCCCCTCCGGCTCCGGGGAAACTATTCCGCGTCTCTCGGACGAGAGGCCGGCTTTCCTTTCTAGCGAATCCCGCGAGGCTGAAGGGAAGCGTTCAGCTCCCTTAGAGGCCCGGTAGGTGGCCATTTGGACCAGCGTTAAGAGCGCGTGGCAGGCAGAGAGGCCTTTTACCTCACGGGGAAGGAGCGCTAACCTCGCTGTGCTGAGGGGTGGGGGTGGGCGGGGTCACGAAACAAGGTAATGGTGCCCCCGTTTCGGAAGCGCCCCAGAAATTCGAAGCGAAGAACTACGAGGCTTTCGGGTGCTCCCCCCCACCCACTTTGGTCTCCTCCGAGGGGTTTGGGGCCCAGTGCGGCCTAACAGGACCGAGAAATCCTTCGCTTTCCTAGATGAGAGAGCAGCACTTGCTTCTCTCCTCTCAGGTTTAATGGGTTTAATTGGCCGGGTTCTTCAACAGGCCTCGAATGAGCGCTTGTCCTGAATTCAGCCATCTTCACCTTTCGTTTGCTTTCCTTTTGATTTGTGGATTTAAAAGAAAAACAAGCTTGTTTTTTTTATCAGAAGTTTTAGAAGAAAGTCTTATTGGAGAAGAGAACCAGCCAAAACAGACCATGAAACAGATGAGATGATGAAATGATAATAATAATTACTGCCTCCCAATTCTCTCTTCTCCTTTTATTGCAACAAAGTCTGTCCTGAATTCTACTGCAGAGCCTAAGGGAGCCAACAAATCAAAAAGAGATTACTCAAGAGTTAGTCAGTAGAGTTGGGTTTTTTTCTTCTCAGAGCAATGACTAGAAGGACAAATCAAGATCAATTTCAATAAATCTTGCCCTCTGGTGACACTAGAGGCATCACACCCAAAGTGGTTTGAAAAGCATGCAGGTTCTGTCCTAGAGAAGTCATGCTCAACTCTAATGAAAGAGATCGCTCACTGATTGTACCTCAACAATTTGTGATAAGTAGTTATAAGTTGATGTATGTGGTATCAGAATCTTAAGAACAAACACACATCTTACTCCTTATAGAAGTTTCTAAAGACTTTCTGAATACTGGACAATGAATTTGCTTCATTTCCATTTTATATATATTTAAGAATAACTTAAAATTAATTTGGGTCTAGGGAGGATCAGTTTTTGCAAATAATACATTTAGGATTTTTCCATGAACTTCGTGGCAGCTCTCTAATTGCTGTTGTAATTGTATCAATTGTTCTTAAGTGGCTTAGTGGGTTTTGGATCGGAGGCATGATTCAGTGGTGCAGATTGTAGATCAATTTAAGATTAATGTTCATGCACTTATTTTCTTCGTTCAGCAAAATAGTATCTTGGAAAAAAGAACCATGTTGTATTGGAACAAATATGATTTTATTGTAGGAAAGGAACTTGTAACTAGGTATTTTTGATAAAGTCTGTAAATTTATACCATATCAAATGGATTCTGTGGTCCT